CAAATAAATCAGAAACCTTTCAGGCATATTGAGGGTAATGATGTTCTTTTTGGAGCCATATGATGTTATTTTTCAAAGATTCTCCTTATTTCGAATTTCTGATGATAATAGATCCGTATCTGTTGGTGTTTGACAAATTGACAATCGAAGTTTTAATCCTGGAGGATGGAGTCTGGTCGTTTTTTTTTAACAATCATTCTATGTTTAGCTCAAGGTTGAAGGTACTATCATGACCAGTCTTATTCTTATCATCATATGATTCATATTGAATATTGATAATGAGAGCACGATGATCTTTCGGGAATGGAACGACGGACCTGCTTCCAAGTCACGATGTGTGGTCCTTATTTCCTGGAGGACCTGAAGCCAACGCCCCGGTATCATCAAATAGGGTCCCAGTGGCCAAGGCCCCGGTATTATCTTTGTATTCGGAGAATTCCGAAATCCATAATCAATATTAATCATAGTATCCCAATTTTATAATCGTAGCCGTGGGCACCGGGGACCCCCTTTTTTTTTTTTTTTTTTTTTTTTTTTAAGACACAGATAAGTTCTGCATTGCCATCGTCGTCTTCCTTATAGACCGTAACTTGAGGGAAGTTGAGGCTATGGCGCAATTACCCCTTGACCGAAATGTGGACCCCTTAAACCCGCTTCCATTAAACCCCTTATCGACCATAACTTGAGGCTATGGCAGTGTGACCCACCTTCAAGTTGCCAGAAATATGGACCCCTGGACCCCCCTTCCATTAACCCTTCGGTCTTCGGAACTCCAACACCCTCCCACTAACTTTGGTAGACAGCCCACAAAATTTGTCTTACAGCCAGGATATGAACATGCACGGCTGCGGCAGCAGGCAGGTCGTCTAGTACGTCTATGATGCTCGAATACATGCCAGCGGCCAGAGAGGCCCAGAGTTATTCAGGTACAACGAAGTTGAATGAACAATCAATCTCTCGTGCAACAAACATCTGATTCAGACGCCAGCAAGGCCCACCCATTAAAAGCACGTTTCAGCACAACACAATTTCAAATGAACTTGAAGTCCAATCAGAAGACAACAGGGTGTAACGTAAAGCACGCTTCAGCAAGATTGATGAAATCGGCAAGAACTGAAAATCAATTTAAGATCTCCTTAAGGCCACCTTATTCCAACCTCCTCCCTTACTTATCTCTCAATGATCTCTCTCTCTCTCTCTCTCTCTCTCTCTCTCTCTCAACCAGGAAGTTCAACCAGAGCCGGGCATTTGTCCGAGGGCTCTCTCTCTCTCTCTCTCTCTCTCTCTCTCTCTCTCTCTCTCTCTCTCTCTCTCTCTCTCTC